GAAACCACTAAACTTCAAAGATAAACAATAAAAAGGAAGAAAGGAAAAAAAGATATGTAAAACAACCAAAAAACAATTTCTTTTTTTTGGATTGGAGTTTCACTCTATCACCCAGGCTGAATGCAGTGACTTGCTCATGGCCACTGCAGTCTCAACCTGCTGGGCTCCAGCAATCCTTCCACCTCGGCCTCCCAAAGTGTTGGGATTACAGGTTGAGCCACCAAGTCTGGTTCAGAAAACAATTAATAAAACAGGAAGAGTATGTCCCCACCAACCATTTATAACCATGAATATAAATTAACTAATTTCTCCAATTAAAAAATATAGTGTACCCGAATGGGTTTTTTAAAAAGACCCAACTATATGGTGCCTACAAGAAACTAACTTCACCTATAAACATATATCTGGATCAAAAGCAAAGGGTTGAAAAATAATACTCCATGCAAATGAAAACCAAAAGAGAGCAGGAGTAACCATATTTTTATCAGATAAAATAGACTCAAGTTAAAAACTGCAAAAAGAGTAAAGTAGACCACCATATAATGATAAAGAGGTCAATTAAGCAAGAGCATATAATAATAGTAAAAAATAAGTGCAATCAATATGGGAACACCCAAATATATAAAACAAATATAATAAGATTTAATAGGATAGATACACAGTGATACAATAATAGTAAGGGACCCTAATACTGCACTTTCAGCAATGGTCAGAACTTCCAGACAGAGAATCAAAAACAACAAAAAAAATCCAAGTTAAACTTCACTCTAGACCAAATAAACCTAACAAACATTTACACAACATTCCACTCAAAAGGCACAGAATATTCATCTTCTCATTAGCACGTGGAACTTTTTCCAGAATATATTATATGTTAGACCACAAAACAAATCAACAAATTAAGAAAAAATTATATCAAGTACCTTCTTAGATCAAAACGAAATAAAATTAGAAATCAATACCAAAAGAATCCCTGGAAACTATACAAATACCTGGAAATTAAGCAACATACTTCCAAAAATGAATGGGTCAAAGAAGAAATTAGGAAAGAAATTAAGAATATGTCTTGAGACAAGCAAAAGTGGAAATGCAACATACTAAAACCTGTAGGATACAGCAGAAGAAGGGTTAAGAGACAAGTTTATAACAATAAATGCCTACATCAAAAAACCAGAAATACAGTATTTCCTTTATTTTTTTTTAAATTTTAAATATGTGGGATATAATTCAGATCTAGGTATACAAGTAGTCATCATATAGGTGAAGTTTAGACCTCCTCCTGTCCCCAGAAATACAGTATTTCAAATAAGCAATCTAATAATGTATCTCAAGAAAGTAGAAAAGCAAGAACAAACCAAACCCAAAATTAGCAAAAGAAAATAAATGATTAAAAAAAAAAATTGAAGCAGAATTAAAAAAAAAAAAAAATAGAGACTTAAAAACCAACACAAAAGATCAACAAAACAAAAGGTTGGGTCTTTGAAACGATATCACAATTGATTACTAGCTAGAATAACCAAGAAAATAAGAGGAAAATCTCAAAAAACAAAATCAGAAATGAAAAAAGAGACATTTCAACTGATACCACAAAACACAAAAGATCATCAGAGATTATTATGAATACATACATTCAAACTAGAAAACCGAGAGGTAATGGATAAATTCCTGGAAACATACAATCTGTCAAGATTAAATCAGGAAGAAATAGAAAACCTGAATAGACCAATAACAAGTAGGAAGATTGAATCAGCAATAAAAAGGCTCCCAACAAAGAAAAGTCCAGGACAAAAGGGATTCACTGCGAAATTCTACCAAACATATAAAAAGGAATTAATGCTAATCCTTCTCAAACTATCCCAAAAAGTTGAAGAGGAGGGATTCCTCCCTAACTCATTCTATAAGGCCAGCATCACCCTGATACCAAAGCCAGACAAGGATACAGCAAAAAAACCAAAAAACAAAACAACAACAACAACAAAAAACTACAGCATAATATCCCTGATGAACATAGATTCAAAAATCCTCAACAAAATAATAGCAAGTCATAACCAACAGTACACTAAAAAGATCAATCACTGTGATCAAGTGGGATTGATGTCAGGGATGTAAAGATGGTTCAGCATATGAAAATCAATAAACATGATTTTATATATATATATATATATTATATATATTTTTTGAGTTGGAATCTCACTCTGTCCCCCAGACTGGAGTGCAGTGGCACGCTCCCGGCCAACGCAGCCTCGATCTGCTGGGCTCCAGCGACCCTTCTGCCTCGGCCTTCCAAGTGGCGGGAACTACAGGTGTGCGCTATCATGCCCGGCT